TTTATATATATATATATATATATATACATACACACACGCACAGAGTTGAATTGTTTTTGAAATTTTGAATCTAAGATAGATTATTATTGATCAACACAAATTTGTTAAATAAGTTTAAAGTGTGTTTTAATGTCTTAAGTATAATGTGTCAAACTCCTTTTCCAGTACTGTTGAAAATGATGATCGTGTGACATTCATACAAATTATACACCACCTATACGTGATTCATAGCAATTTATTGATAAAAACTCACAGTACTGCACCAATCAACCAAACCAAACTCTTGCCGTATTGCGCTGACATGCATATTTTTTCAACTCTTCAGGCCTGTTTTAAATACTACTGTCGGTCATGCTGGCATTGGCAGCATTCTCTGGACGTGTTGAGCAGCCATCAGCCTCTCATGCGCAACCAGAAGGGCCTGAACCCCAAATAAACCCACCGCTGCCGGCGTGGGGAAGAGTCCGGACTGAGTTCACTGTTTTGGGGAAGGATGTTAGCGTGAGTCAAGGGCGACTCACTTGAGGAAGTCACTGCGTTGTATTGCACTGCTCTCGTTCTCGTTCATTAAGGCTCTATGCACACTAAAGGGTTCGTTGATGGTGACCTGTTTGCACAGCTAACCAGACAGCCATCGCCATGGAGATCTGATTTTAAAGAGTTGTGTTTTAGATTTTGCATGCACAGATTATTAGTTTATCTCGCAGGCTTGACTCTCTGATGCAGGCAAAAGACAGTCGGTGCCTTCGGCTTCTCTTTTGTTACCAGTGTTTGAATACCATTATTTTGGTTTATTTTATTGATTTTTAAGGTGGTTTTACCTGCTTTTCTACTGCTGGTTTAGGTCATAGCATATGAAACAGATTTTTTAAGTTAACAAGCGTCTTTTCCTGTAGGGCCTTTTTTATTTTCCCTTTTTAACGCTCTATTAAATGGTTGATGAGCATCTTGGCTTGTGAAATGTTCTAGGAAGTGACATCACAGCTGGCTGATGCTGTTGCTTAGCAACCACCCTGCCATCATCCATCAGATCGGATACATGTTAGCAACTCTGGATGGTTCTGTGCTGTATATAGTTTTTATCAAATCATAGCACTTTTTTTTTAACGTAGCACTAGGGAAATGTTTGCCAGTGGTTTTAAAATCGTTTGTTTGAGCAGATAGAGGTGGAATTCTCACGTTGAGTTTGGTGTTTTGTGTTAAACCCTCCTAACCTTAGTTAGCCGCTCTGGTTTCTCGCTGAAGCTGTGCCAAAGAGTATAATCTCTTCCTCGTTGCCTTTTGCAGCCGCTTTTTAGAATTTCAAAGTCTCTACCTCATTGCTCTGCAAGTATTGCCTTGGTTATTTACAAATGTTCAGATTGGACAAAATAAAGTTGTTGAAGCACTGAAACATTTGACGCTCAGTTTTATTTCAAGGTTCAAACAAGAAAGTGTTAGAAAAAAATATCTCAAAAGAGAAATATTTAAGTTAATTGAACGTCCTCTGATTTCATTTATAAACTATTTTCATGAAAAAAAACATTAATATCATCAAATAAAAATCAAATACCACCCAATTTTTTTTTCCTTGGTATAAACAAGAAATTATATGACTATAATTCAGTACACAATAATGCTATCATTTTTATGTTATGTATTTTTTGGTTTAGAGTTTGGTCCCAGAATGACAGGATTGCCAGATGATGTCAATTGAGTGTGTGTGCATCATGTGAGTTCAGTCTGTTTAGTCTGAGGCAGGCGTAGAGCCGCCAGTCCTCCTGCCAGCAGGAGTGCAGACACCATCAGCAGAGGTATGGCACAGTTTGAGTCCACCAGCTGCCCAAACACTACATTTCCCATGATGGCTGCCACACGACCCACTCCAGTGAAAACCCCCAGAGCTGACGAGCTACAGAATAGAAACTGGAATTAATACATTCATTCTTTCAATTCTCAGAATTTTTCTGCTCACCAAGGCTGCATTTATTTGATCAAAAATACAGTAAAATTGTGACATTATTACAATTGAAAATGACTGTTTTCTATTTGAATATATTGTAAAATGTAATTTATTCCTGTGGTGCAAACTGAATTTTCAGCATCATTACTCCAGTTTTTAGTGTCACATGATCCTTTAGAAATCATTCTATTCATCAAAGAATCCTATAATGATTTCCAAAATTATTAAGCGGCAAAAAACGGTTTCAACACTGATGATAAGAGCCATTATTAATAATTGCATACTAATAATAATTGCTAATAATTGAGCATATATATATATATATATATATATATATATTTCATAATATTACTGTCTTTACTGTAGTTTTGAGTTTACTGTAGAGACTTTAAAAAAAAATTCTACTACTGTAGAATCATTTAAAAAAAATCTTAATTATTCCTTTTGACCAGTAGTGTAAATGATGTCTGTTTTGATTGACTGACCTCTCTGCATGTGAAATCAGTACCAATATAGCTTCATTACAAATAAATATTGGGGTTTACCGTAATTGTGTGGGGTAAAGTTCAGTTCCCACCACGTCTAGAGCGTTCCATGAGATGACAGAAACACCGCTGAACACGCAGGACATGATCAGACTCTGAGCTTTGGTCTTCACCACATAGATGATGAACACGCTCATGCTGGACACCAGCAAACTCACGGCTACCAGAGAAAAATCCACATTATCATAATGCATCATTATAGCGCTCCATTAGTATTTTGCTTTTAATATTTTGTTTAATGTAGTAATAAAATATTTTGAGCTGCCATTCAAACATTGGAAGACAAAACCTGTTGTACTAACAAAGCAGGATTTTCCCGCCAATTCTGTCCATGAGCAGGATAGTGAAGATGTTTCCCGGCAAGTTTGAAGCAGCTGTTACAAAACCCTCCATGTACACTATAAAAACACATGAACACATGCAAACGACACAAAGCCATGAGAAATAATACTTAACAAAATAAAATATTATAACTAACAAATTTCAGATTTTTGTGCTTTTGCTGCTGAGAAAAATATTGATTAGTCTCATTCAGTCTGGTTTTAGTAGCACTAACCTGCAGTTTTGACTGGATAGCAGCTTTCATTCTCTGAGTTTTGGACTCGAGACACGTTGGCGCATGGAGACCCTCCATCCTCGGCTCTCTTAAAAAGCTCTGGAAACCACATCCATAATCCATAATACCTGCACAGAGAGGATTACAACATTGAATCATACTTACTCATAATCTGCATCATTTTAAATTAAGTTAACTAATTATAACAGATTTAAATCTTAAAGGTACAGTAGCAAAAACAACCTGTCGTGTTTAGCCAATCAGAACAGAGCTCATTTACATATCGACGTTATGATGTAGCAGCAAAGAAAAACAGCTTGTTTAATTCTAAGATTCAACTAAATTATGACTGACTTTGGTGTAAAAACCTTGACACCTTAAATTGGTAGAATATTTTGCCTTTACCATTTAATAATTTAAGTTTAGTACCCAAATGAAATGCAGAAAAATATAATCAGCAGAATGACACTTCTGGAAGCCAACGATCCAACAAACAGCTGTTTCATGGGGTCCAGAGCCTGTAGAAGAACCAGCAAGGCCATAAAGAGCTCGGTATGACTTCATGTTAGCATTAATAGCTTCTAAGAAAGCCGAAAAGAAAATCTCAATAATGCATCAAAAGTGCTCTGAACCTGCTTGAGTTGGTGGCTGAACTGCTGACATCTTGAGCCGATAGTGGGTCTGTTTTTTACTTCATCATCTTTGGATCTGATCACAAGACCTGGTATCTGTTAAGAGAAACTGTCAGTTTTATCAACTGACAAACCAAAATAATGTAGTTTCCTTTATGAGAAGTGGGAAGGTTTGGCCTAGAATTGAAAGCAAACATCATTGAGGCGGTACTGACGGGAAATGGTTTTGTGGCACATCTGTTGTTCAGTTTGAACATCTTCTGGAACACAGACAAAGCCTCTGTCTCACGTCCGGCCTGTGGAAGAGAAACACATAGTGAAATAATGTGCCACCAAACCTGACAAACATGCAGCCTGTAATGGACCTTAATACAGTACATGCCATATTTGCAGTTCTACTAAATTCTAGAACTGTGACTTGTTCAGACACATGGAGTTCTAGAATTCACAGCCTATTCATTGAACTTTTGTATCAGTCTAAAATAAAAAGTAAAGTATCTGACGGTACACACCTCCATGAGGAACTTGGGGCTCTCTGGCATGAACAGTCTGAAAATAAGTGCTGATGACAGACTGGGGACGGAGCAGAGGACCACAAAAAGACGCCAACTCTGAAAATCCAACCAGCCCCAATGAGCATTCAAAGATGTTCTGGGAATCACCAACCACGCCACACCTGGAAAAAACACAAAATATGTATTAAAATCAATATTCATGCATCAATGTTTTGCACTAATGACAATAAATGAGTACAGCCTACTTGTTAGCTTATTATTTAGACCCTTTTTTCTAAATAGTGGGCACATGATATATTTTTATCTTTTTTATATTTTGCCTTATGCATTGTTATTTTATTTAAATATCTTTTATATTTTTATTTATTAATGGATACATTTTTGGTTATTTACTTTTGTCTTATGCATTTTTTGCATGTTTATTTAAATATATTTTATATTTTTATTCATATATATTATTGGTTATGTATTCTTATCTTTTTTTATTATCTCTAGATCTTCAGGTTGTGTTCTTTACTGCTCATGTTTCAATATTAAAACAAAACCGGAAAAAAACAATTATACAACCTTCTAGACAGTATTTTAGAGACACTCCTCTCTCAGCTCAGAGGATGATGGTTTTACCTGCTGCTAAAATATTTCCAGCCATCCAGAAGGTGGCTAGAGCGCTGATCATAGCCCCCCTCCTCAAACGTGGCTGAAACTCAGAAAAATAGGAGAAGATGACAGGAATGGAGCCGCCGACCCTGAGAGTGAGACACAGATGCATTCATGTGATTCCAGTAAAATGTGTCGAGATTCTGTCTGTATAATTTCTATCTAAACCTTCAGAATGTCTCTGTGGATGTAAAAACTCTTTTTGCATGTCATTACCCGACTCCACTGAAGAACCGCAGGAGCAAAAAGAGCCAGAAACTCGGGGCCAAACTGGCCACCGCCCCAAATATGCCATTCACTGCCAGAGAAATGACCAGAATGCTCCGCCTTCCTCTGCGATCAGCCAGATACCCCCAAACATAACCGCCCACCATCATCCCTGTCAAAGGAAACGGCCGTTTGACACGTTCTATCTTAATGAGCAGCATGACAGTCAAATCACATGGTTATGTCAGCAGTTTTAATCACTGGGTCAAGTTATGTATTTCTTGTAAAAAAAAAAAAAAACTATGAGCTCTGCAGTTTTCAGACATGTGATAAGGCAAATAAAATACAAAGTTCAACCAAATAGGGAACAAACTGCATTTTTGACCTGATTTATTTATTTGATAAAAATGTTTGATATTCCTCCTTTGACCTGCAGTTTAAGACTGCAAAATGAACATGTCTTGCCTTTAACCATTTTCTCACCATGAATGAATCACAAATGCCTAATTTTCAGTTTTAAAAATGCAACATGATCAGATATTTGGTTAGAAAATCAAATAAAAAAAAGAAAGCAGCACAGATAATAACCAAGGAATATGCTGGAGGTGAGGAGCCCCATGTCGGCCGAGGTCAGCAGGAGGTCACAGCGTGCCGTGGGCAAGAGGAACGAAACACACAGGATCTCCACCGCATCGCTAGCGTTCGCCCAGCCACAGACCACCAACAGCAGCCAGTGGAAGAGCCCGAACCCTGCAGACAGACAGAAACATGAAGATCGCTGACCACTGCATCTGGACATAAGAAACTACATTTAGGACAAATTATTCACCACAGTAAATACATAAAGGTCAAATAAAGATGATTTAACCTGCTTTCTCAACAGCCTCCTCATATGAAAGTTTCTTTCTGCTGGATGCCTGGTCATCTAATGGAAACATTATATATCACTAAAATTATCATATATATATATATATATATATATATATATATATAGGACCATTATACACACAAACACACACATATCTTTCGATCTATTTCTAAGTAAGACTATCGATGTACCACGTACTACTACAGTACTTTTTTGTGTACAAACAAACCTTCGTACAAAACATGTTCTCGTGCTGGATCCAGATTTAATAGTCTATATATCTGGTGAAAATATATCTGGTGCTCATCTACAACACTCCATCAAAATCAATAACAGACCGCACGAGATCGAGTAATATTAAACACATTTTCACATGATAATAAGGCATTTTACCATCTTCGTCGATATGAGTGGATGAAAGCAGGGGTTCTGTGTCTTCATGAGCCCGTCGAGGCATAAT